TACAGCTCCAGAATGGGGTGTCCATGGCGAACCCTGGGACCGATGAAAGGCAGCAACAGGAACTTGATTTGCAGCAGAGAATATTGACTTTGCAGCCCTGGATTGCTGAGCTTGAATTTGATATCTTGCCTTGGTCGTCCAAGTCTAGATTGACCCGGTTCAACGCCTCGTTGAAGAAGTATAATGAGCCGGAATATCAGGAGAAGAGAGGCATGAGTAAGCGAGGCGATGTTTACATCCAAGAGACCCCACAGGAAGAGGCTCCTTTTAGGAAGGCTTTGTGGCTTGTTATTCGGGAGGTTGAAACGGATGAAAGACGTTAATCTGTGAATATATATATGTGCAGTTCACCGTCTAGACTAGAATTGGCTGAACTTGACAAGGGGCAAACAGGAAGATTCTTTGTCAACTAGCAAGAGTAATTTCAACGAGAATACCAGAACTTTATGCATATATATCTGTCCAATCAGATGCCAGACCAACCAACGAAAAGGTGGTCAAAGGAAGTATCACATGTAGCCATTGCGTCGTCATGAAAAGATTGATAGCACACCACACTTGTAACTCCCAAGGGTCAATTCCTTTGTATGTAACCTGTACTCGACTCTCAAACAAGGAGTTGGTGTTCAAAGTACACTTTTTGTGGATTTGTATACGTAGATCCCGCCTGGGGCCACCGCCCTGCCCCGAAACTAACCTTGGAAGAAGACACGCAACGTTCTACTGTCATCCCCCTCTACATCTCCTTTCCTTTCTCATAGTTTACTTGGCCTCAATTGTTGGGTGCCATGCTTATTTGGTGATTCTAGTAAGCTTCCTTTTCCTCTCTATTACAATTTTTTTCTGCTTTGTTGATGTTTACTGACAACTCCCGAAGTCTATTTGGCTATAGGTAGTTTCTCGGTCGCTCTCTACATTTCATATTTTCAACATGTCGTCCCCTTCGCCCTCTCTGCGGAAGAGAGGCGGAAAAAAGGATGTTTACACCGCATTGCCCTCTGAGGATGGCCCGGCCCCCGTGTCGGTGCCGGTCAAACAGAAGTCGGAATGGGACTATTGGCTGGCCATAGTGATTCTTACCCTCCTGGCTTTTGCGACACGGTTCTACCGCCTCGATTTCCCTAACGAGGTTGTCTTTGATGAGGTTCATTTCGGCAAGGTATGAAGTCGAATACCTTTTGTAGCGGCACAATTTATGAAAAAAGGGGGCCCTTTGACTGACATTGAAATTACTCGGCCAGTTCGCTTCTTATTACCTTCAACGTACCTATTTCTTCGATGTGCACCCGCCTTTTGGAAAGCTGTTGTTTGCCCTTATGGGTTGGCTTGTGGGCTTTGATGGAAGATTCCTGTTCGAGAACATCGGCGACTCTTACATCGACAACAATGTGCCCTACCTCTCCCTCCGTGCCATGCCGGCTACTCTTGGCGCCTTGACAATTCCGGTGGTGTTCCTCATCATGTGGGAGTCTGGATACTCTCTGCCAGCCTGTGTGCTGGCTGCTGGTCTGATGGTGTTTGACAACGCTCACGTTGGAGAGGACCGTCTGATCCTTTTGGACTCGACACTCGTGCTGTCGATGGCACTCAGTATTTTGTGCTACGTCCGTTTCTACAAGTTGCGTCACCAACCTTTCAGCCGGAAGTGGTGGAAATGGCTTCTCCTGACTGGCTTCTGCATGAGCTGTGTCATCTCTACTAAATACGTTGGTTTCTTCACTTTCGTGACCATCGGCGCCGCAGTTCTCGTTGACTTGTGGAACCTCCTGGATATCAACCGCGAGCAGGGAGCACTGAGCATGATCAGCTGGGGCAAGCATTTCATGGCTCGCGCTGTTGGATTGGTCATTATTCCTTTCATGTTCTACTTGTTTTGGTTCCAGGTCCACTTCGCTATTCTCAACCGGTCCGGCCCCGGTGACGACTTCATGACCCCCGAGTTCCAGGAGACTCTTAGTGACAATCAGATGACCGCTCAGTCCGTTGGAATCCAATACTTCGACACCATTACTATGCGCCACAAGGACACTAAGGTCTTCCTCCACAGTCACTGGGACAAGTACCCCTTGCGTTACGATGATGGCCGTATCTCCAGCCAGGGCCAGCAAGTCACCGGTTATCCCCACAACGACACCAACAACCAGTGGCAGATTCTGCCGGCCGATCCTCTGATTGATCCATCCGAGTCCAAGAGCGTGCGCAACGGCGACATCATCCAGCTCCGCCACGTTGGAACCGAGAGTTATCTCTTGACTCACGATGTTGCGTCTCCATTATTCCCCACCAACCAGGAGTTCACTACAGTCTCTCAGGAACTGGCTGAGGGCGAGCGCCACAACGATACCCTGTTCGAGCTCAAGATCGAGTCAGGCAAGGCTGCCCAGGAGTTCCGTACTCTTGCCAGCCTGTTCAAGTTGATCCACGTTCCAACTCGGGTCGCTTTGTGGACACACACAACTCCGCTTCCAGAATGGGGTTACAAGCAGGCCGAAATTAATGGTAACAAGAATATCCTCCAGTCTAGCAACGCGTGGTACGTTGAGAACATTGAGAACTTGGAGGAGGATAGTCCTCGTCTTGTTAAGGAGGAGCGTAAGGTCAAGACACTGCCTTTCCTGCGCAAGTACTTCGAGCTGCAGGGTGCCATGTTCCACCACAACAACGCTCTGACCAGCAGCCACCCCTATGCCACCGAGCCCTTCCAGTGGCCGTTCCTGTTGCGAGGCGTGAGCTTCTGGACTAAGAACGATACCCGTGAGCAGATTTACTTCTTGGGTAACCCCATTGGATGGTGGATTGCTAGCAGTATTCTGGCCGTGTTTGCCGGCATTGTTGGTGCTGACCAGCTCTCGCTTCGCCGTGGTGTTGATGCATTGGAAGAAAGTGAGTCGAAAAACCAAACATCCTGCTCTTATCCCTTTTTTTGTTCTGGGAATTAACACACGTTCATTAGTTTGGGGTCCCGGTACGCGCTCGCGTCTGTACAACAGCACCGGATTCTTGTTCCTGTGCTGGGCTGCGCACTACTTCCCCTTCTGGCTGATGGGTCGCCAACGCTTCCTACATCACTACCTGCCCTCCCACCTGGCATCCACAATGGTTTGTGGCGCACTGGTTGAATTCATTTTCAACCTGCAGCCGCTCGATCCCCGAACTGCACTTCCTCCTGTGGATGACCCCTCGGGCAAGTCCAAGGCGCGGTCGGTCAGCAGCCTGCGCCGGTTCATCACGGCCAAGGAACGCATGGGCTGCAAGTCGCTCATCGCGGGCTGGATTGCCACTCTCATCATTCTGGCTGCCACCATCTGGGGCTTCATCTTCTATGCGCCCTTGACCTACGGTACCCCTGGCCTCGATGTGGCAGGTGTCAATGCGCGCAAGTGGCTCAACTACGACCTGCACTTTGCCAAATAAGCTCCTCGCTGGGCCAAGGAGGCCCAATCCGCGAGAAAATACCCATTCGAGATGATGGGCCGAACTGAAATTTCAAATTCGCAATTTTTGTAAGATAACTTATAATCCGTGATAAAAGGCGGGTAGAGAGAAGGTGTTTTTTTTTTTTTTGCGCGATTGGAGGATTGATATCAGTCGTTGGTATCATTTGAAACCATGGTGTGTGTGCATGTATGTGTGGCCATTTAAGTCCTCTTTTTCTCCATCTTGATGTAGTACATATTCAATGTTCCATGTTCAGAATCTCTCGGTCGAGTCCTGTGTCACAATTGGTGGCACGGGATTATCAGCCGACCGTGCAAACTAGTCTCCGATCGTTGATCCAGCCTTGTTATATTAGGGTTAGAGATATAGATAGGTACGGAGTACGCGGAGTAGATACTAGATAGGAGTCGATGCAAGAAGAATGTGCCAATGTCGATCGAGATCGACTTCACGTGATCGACGATCGGCGACATGTGCGCATCGCATTGGAGCAGATGAGATTTCATCGTTAGATACTCCGTACTTGACAAGCTAACCTGACGACGTTGTTCTTTTTATTCAAACCGTACTTTTTATATGAATGTCTTATGTAGCTTGCAGACGCCCAGACCTAACCCTTTTCTCTTCCCACATTCCAATTCATTTGCCTTTTTATAAATTGGGGTTATTTTTAGATCGCGAAAAAAACAGCCCACTGTTTATGACCTCCTACTCGCTATGTATAGTAAACGGTTTCACATTGTCCTATGAGATCATGACAGTAGCCGAGTTTTAGGATCCTAAATAATAACCCACGATAGTAATATAGTAATCTAGTAATACGCCATAATACCAACGGAGTCGAATGTCAATAATAGTCCTAATACGGAATCCTCCTCAGCCCATATCTGGACACCACGGATACCAAAGGGACTAGGCTGTCAGTAGCGTCTTCTCTTTTTTGCCTCGCTTTCTACGCATTCTCTCTCTCTTTTCTTTCTTTTCTTTTTCATTCTTTACTCCCTAGTGGTTCCTTAGGGTCTCTCCACTCCCCGCGTCTCCAGATCTCATTGGTGTTTTCTTTGAGCGAGCTGAAACGGACATTTCTTCGTCTCACCCGATACTTATGGTGGGTTCGAATTCTTTCCAGAAAAAAAAAGAGCACATATTCAAGGCCCGCAAGGAATTTGGGAGTAATTATTCAATTCGTTGTGAGATGCTATCGGATCGGACAGACACAAGACAACCCACTCTGTGGATTCCTGCCGGGCCTTTGATCGGCCGCTAGAACAAACCCATGTTGTGCTTCGTCTCTCCCTGAAAGCTTCTGACTGACTTCAATTCTTCTCCAGCTTAACCCCTAAGCTCAGCTTGCCTTTGTTTCCCCTAGGTCAATCGTTATACCTATCTATCGGATCGATCGCTTCTTCGGGTATCACTTGGATTCGACACATCACCCTCAAAAGGGCTGACACACCCCCCCAGGATAGTCCAAAGCTTGATGAGATAGCTGACTCGGAAAGGCGCACTGGCCGATTCTTCAATTATCAGCCCGATCTGTCAGAACAGTTGCTTCCGTCCCTATGAAACTGCCCAAGAGCTTTACCAGGCGGAAATCGTCCGGCAACGTTCTAGAGGAGGTGGAATCTCCTCACCAATCCTCCTTTCGAGTCTTTGAGCGCCCGGGGCCTCATCGATCCATGACGGATGGAGCAGCCCTGACCAAGCCGCTGAGTGAGGGCAATACGGTGCCGATGACGGAGGATTCTGATAACATCTTTGCGGAGAGGGAGCGACCCCTGGACAAGAGCCGGTACGATCGTCCCTCGACCATGGATTCTCTCAGGAGACGGCTGACTGGGAACCATGATAGTGGTAACTACGAAAGCTCTACGTCAACCAGGCTAAGCTCGTCATCCACCCTCCCATCGTCCACCGAGGTCCCGCCGCCCGAGGAGACCTTATCCCCGCATTCCAGAATCCATGATGTTCCAGCTCCCCCACCCCTCACGAGTGCGCTGCGTGCCGCAGGACGGACCTTCTCGTTCGGTGGTCGATTCAGCAGGTCAGGACCGCAAGTGCCTCGGCAACAAACACCGGATGCCTCAAAGAATCGCCCGGTGACGGGCAGCACCGACAGCACGGCCACTCCACCCAAGCTGCCCGATACAGACTTCGCTCTCGGCTCGCAGGATGACTTCAACAAGATGTTCGATAACCTGGGTGCTCGAGAGGGTTCGGCAACACGGGGGTCATCCCCTAATCCGGGCAAGGTAAGACCTGCAATCGCTCGTCCAGGAAAGGATGCAGTGCTGACGGAATCGCAGTATTCCTCGTCTCCCCCGACGCATGTTCTGTCCGGGTTTCAAAACAGCAGAGCTGCCGCACCCGCTGCGATTAATACAGACCGATCGACTACTATCGAGTCACCCCCTTACTCCTGGGATCGTCGCCCATCCGAGGAGGGCCTGCTACGTGGCCCGCGTTCTCCGCCGCTGAACCAGAGCCAGTCTACCCTCGATACAGTTGTTGGTTTCCGGAAGGTTTCGCCGTCTCCCAATCAGTTTGCCGAGGCTACTACTTCACATCGTTCCTTAGAGCGCCCGCAGGGATCGGAAAGGAGAGGACTGCGGAGGAGTGGGATATATTCGGCCAAGGGGGAATCCGGATCCTTCGACGACGAAGATGCCAAAATGGTTCGACAATCTGTCTTGTTCAGCAAAGAAAGCACGCCGCCTTGGGCTGAGGGTAGCCCCTCCGGTGGAACCCCATTGATCGATAAGGGCAAAGCACCTAATTACTCTGGCCAAGTGAACCCAGAACCCGATAATATGTTCCAATACCGCCGTTCGCCTGCTCCGGCCGAGAGATTGGACCCCTCCATTGCGGATCATGCACGGTTGGCTGTGCAGTATGCGGATAGTCTCCCCAAGTCGTCCTCTCCGGGTAACAAGGTGATGACTCCATCTCAGTTCGAGCACTATCGCCAGCAACAGGAACTTCGACGTTCTAATAGCAATGCGACTAAGAGCGATGATGAGTCCGACCATGACGACTTTGACGACGAACAAGATGAGGTGGAGAAGCAACGGGAGACGGAACGCCAACGACGAAGGCAGGAGGCTCATCTCTCTGTGTATCGTCAGCAGATGATGAAGATCACCGGTCAGCAAGCACCCGTGCAATCGCTACGCCCGGTGATGAGTGGAGCTAGCAACAGCACGCCCAACTTGCTCCCCAGTCGCCTGTCTGCACTAGGCGAGAAGTCGACCAGTGGGAAGAGCAGCGAGGAAGAGGATGACGATGTGCCGCTTGGTATTCTGGCCGCACACGGTTTCCCTGGTCAAAACCGCCCGCCAACCCGCCTGAACAACGTCAGCTCCAACCCCAACCTTCGTGCATCCATGCAACCGCCATATATATCATCTTCCAACTCTGTTTCAGGTGCCGACCCGAACGGCAGCCGAGGCAGTCTGCCACCTTTTGCAAGGAACTTGCCACGAGATCCTTACTTCGGTGCAGGTTTGGTTAACAACGCCAACCGTGAATCGTTGGCGTTCGGAGGTGGTTCGGTATATGGGGGTTCTTCGTCACCCGCACCTCCCCCTGGAGGTCTTGTCGGTGTTATAGCAAATGAGGAGCGGGCACGGGCCTTGCGCAGAGGAAGCCCGAATACACAAGCAATGCATGAAATGGGAGGGGTGCCTCGGCCATACTCGACGATGCCGCCACCGCAGCAGCAAAACGTTACCGCCGGGGAACAAGCTTCTATCCAACTGTCGCAGCAGATGGCCAACATGATGCAGATGCAAATGCAGTGGATGCAGCAAATGATGCAAATGCAAGGTGGGCAAGGTCAACCTATGATGCAAGGTATGCCTCCTATGATGATGCCTGGTGGAGCAATGGCCATGCCTCCCATGGGCCCTCCTTCTATATCGGGACCCCAGTCCATGGCTGGCAACCCGAACTTCCGGCCGATGTCCATGCCTGCAACATCCTTTCTCAATATGCCGCCCTCGCTTCCACCCCAAGTCGATCATCGCACGATGAGCATGCTGGACCCCAACGTTTCAGCCCGTAGGACTGGCTCGCCCATGCCGAATCTGTCCGGCAATTCCTTCCGGCCCAACACCGGATATGCCGCTTCAATCGCTCCGTCGGAGCGCAGTACTGCGGGCATGGCGCCTCGTTACCGGCCCGTATCAGTCATGCAGCCCGAATCTAATTACGCGGTAGCATCCCCAACAAACAAGCCTTTTGGTGACGAAAACCACAACCCGTCCATGCCGATACCTCAGTCTCACATTCCGAAATCGCATCTCGCAACTGTGACCGTCCGCCCTGTTTCACGGGAAAATCAACAGCCCGGTTCCGAGGATGAAGATGACGATGACGAGGCCTGGGCTGACATGGTGAAGAAACGTGAAAAAAAGAAGAGCAGCTGGAAGATGAAGCGAGGGACATCCTCGTTCGGGGATCTGCTGAGCGCCGTGCACTGAGTCCCTGATTCCGTTTCCTCTCTCTTTCTTTCTTTATTCCTCAACTCTACCACGAAAGCGTGCTTGCATTGCATTTGAAAAGAACTCCCCCGTGCTACGCTGTATAGACTTTCACTTTATTCTCTGCATTTCCATGCCCGCTTCCGTTTCCTAATATCTCCCGCTTCCTCTACAACATGACATATGACGCACATACCATCAACTCAGAGAAGGGCTTGCCGTGCCATTTGGATATGCCGGCTTGATAATGCATCCCCAGCCCTCATCTCACATCTTGTTTGTCACTCCTCGCTCCCGGTCCCGGGTTTCCTTGTATCATCGTGTCATGGTCCTTCCGGTCTGGGCAGGGAGATTTGGCATTTACAAGTATGAATACATATGCTTTCCTTGTGCTTTTACTCTAGTTTCGATTTTTGAGCTCGGTCTTCTGCGTTCCTTTCTCGCTTTCTCATGATATCGGCACGGGAAGAGACATGGCGTTATTTATCCGATAGGTTTCTATCTTTGTGCTTTCTCATCTTGTATTCTGTCTGTTTTGCATTGTCTATTCGCCAGAGCGACTTTCTTAATATATTTCGGGCCTTGTGGCCATTATCTCGGCTCTTTCCAAGGTTCATTTTTCCTTCATTTTTTCTTCTGTTTAGGTCTTGTGTTTTCTGTTTCAATGGAGATGTATATCTTACGATAGCGTAGATCTGGGCTGAGATAAGGAAGGGATCTCCATACACTAGGTAGTTACGGCTAATATATGTTGTGTTATCTCATATCAAGATGATCGATTGCGTGCGTATAGCTTAGAAGTTACGTGGTATGAATGGTGTCCAAGCATGAATTTGGCTTGGTTTAGTAGGCTACGTGTCTCGGAATCCCGAGGCTTATTAAAATCCAATTGGAAAAATCGTGGAAAAACATAGGGTTTGAAGGACTAACACCAGTGTATCTTGAAGTGAGATGAAGATAGAGTAAACGCCGGTATGTATACAGTCACGTGACAGCATACATAAGAGCGGTCACATGATCCATATCGATATCGAATGGACCACGATATCTTCATCACTCAACGTCAAATTTTGAGCAAGCAGACAGCAGGGCCCAAAAAAACGGGTTAAAGTATAGATCTCTATTGAGATTCTTTGTTGGAATTTTTTCGCTATTGATAAGCACCCTCAATAGCGTATTCCGAAGTCACACGCCATTGATCGCTATTGTCTTCTGATCCCTATTGTCTTCAGAGGTCAATACGGAACTACTTCTCGTCTATAATTAAGCCTTGAAACTACACCCAGCCTTCAACCCCTCATCAACCTCTCTCTTCTGAAACTGCACAAATTCTTCGATACATACATAAAATCATATCATCCATACCGATATAGGTATCTTCCAAGGTTGCCCTCAAACCCTCCGGCTTTTAAAAGCAGCTTTCTCGCCACAATGAATGCCCCAGATCGGTGAGTGCCAGATTCTATTTTGAAATCCCCAAAGTCTTGTTCATTTCCAGCTGCTCTGGTGAATTTGGTTGTTGGATGTCATATGTACTACAGAGCATATTCCCTGGATTCTGGGGTAAATTGCGCCTTCCTTTTTTCATATCTTGTCAATCAGGGAAGGAGCGATGGACATGGATAGCCAGGATGGCACTTTCCTCGCACCGCTCTTGCCCTGGCAATCATTTCATCTTGCCTATTTATACCGTCTCCTCGGTCAACACATCTTCCCTCTTTCATCCTCTTGTTTACCCGTGGACTGTGATCCTGTTTTACACTGTCGCCCTCTTTTTTACTGTGTATCCCTGTTTCATCGTTCTGTTTTGTGCAGCCATGCAGGGCCCTGGATTTATCACGGCCACTGCGGCTATCGCCAGAGAGTGTGCTGGTCGCCGTGGTCGCGGTCGCCACTCGCGTCACCCTCGCCCTCAGAACCCCAGCGATGCCCCTGATGTGTCAGTGTCATTAACTCTCGGATTAAGGCCTTTGCTTTATTCTGATTTTGACCTTCTTCTGCATTCTCATCTTGCTTTTCATCTGTGGACCATAAACTGACCAAGCTCATGAATATAGTTATGAAGCCATCCTGCTCGCTCCTGGCGAAAGCAAGATTGATGTTGAGGTCGACACCCGTAAGTCATGCTGGTCAGTGTACACGACACAACCTCACTAACCATCTCTCTCTAGGTCTCCCTTCTGCTGCCATATTCACCTTCCGTAAGGAAGACCACACCCTTGGCAACATGCTGCGTCACCGTCTCCTAAAGACTGCCCATGTGATCTTTGCTGCCTACCGCGTAAGCAGCCTCCTCTATGTGCATGGTGTTTCTTCTTGGAAGATACTAACAACAATCCATTAGGTCCCTCACCCGCTCACCCCCGAGTTCCAGCTGCGTATCCAGACCGATGGTGAGGTCACCCCTCGTCAGGCTGTCATTAACGCCTCCGAGGCTCTGATCAAGGACCTGGGCATCCTGTCTCGAGAGTTCACCAAGGAGTTCGAGCTTCGCAAGGCTGCCAACGCCGCCAATCAGCAACAGCAGCAAAGCACCGCTGAGTAAATGGCTATGAGTGACACCCAGCTATCATTGATCTTGTTTTAACTGGTCTGAAATCTGGCGCATGGAGCAGTCATGGTGTTTTATACCTTGCGTTTGCTTTCTTTTCGTTTTCGATCTTTAAGGGTGGCTCCTTTTTGCGCGGGCATGTTTCTTTTTTCAATACCATCAGCTATTTGCTACCCACAAATTTACAAATTTACAAGCTTGAAGCTCTAATCATCACTTGTATCCATCAACCAATTATTCCAGTCGTAGATCCAAAAATATCTCGAATGAATGACTAAGCACCAGATGAGGTTAGCGTAGGTGCCTCCGCGTCCAGCAGCGGCGTCATTCGCATCCTCCTGAGACTCAACTCACTTAGAATTTTGCATTCGTCAATTTCTTTTGGCTTTTCTGCATCTATTTGGCTCATGCGAGCGTGGTGTCTGTGATGTTTTCCTCGTCGAATAATTTCCTCGGGGGTGGTGCCAGTGGCGGCCAGGCACCATTCATGCAACAGCAACAACAACCCCCCTATTCACAATTCCCTCAAGGCCAGATGTCGCCATCAGTCCAACCCCAACCGACTGGATTTTCTCTGCAGCCTACTGGTCTCGCTCCACAGCCGACCGGATTCGCCGGCCAGCCCTCCCCGTTCGGTAACTCGCAGCTACAGCCTCAAGCCACCGGATTCCCCGCAGGACAGCTCCAGCCGCAATTCACTGGCTTCCCCGGCGCCGCGCCCCAGCAACCTCAGCAGCAGCAAGCGCAAAGCTTCCAAACACAATACACTGGATACCCTCCCCAGAACCAAGCGCAGCAGCCGCCTCCGGTGCCGCAGATACCAACTCGATTCAAGACCTCCAGCGATATCGCGAACTCCTTCCAAGATGCCGCTGGCTCTGGGGCGCCCCCTCAGGTGCCGCCAAAGACAGGATCAAAGATCCCAAACATTCGGCTTTCTTTTATCACGGCACAGGACCAGGCGAGGTTCGAGCAGCTCTTTAAGTCTGCGGTTGGCGATAGCAAGACAATGGATGGTTTGTCCCCGCGCACTCAATATATGTTATGGCTTGTATACAGTACTGACTGGTCACAATAGGCGACAAAGCAAGAGATCTTTTGTTACGGTCCAAGTTGACGGGCGGTGATCTTTCTAAGATCTGGGTTTTGTCTGATACGACCAAATCTGGACAGTTGTTCTTCCCCGAATTTGCATTGGCCATGTACCTCTGCAATATTCGTATCACCGGCCGCGAGCTCCCTTCTTCCCTACCCGAGACGGTCAAGAATGAGGTTTCTAGTATGGTTGACATCATCTCGTTCGATGTCCCCGACACACAGCCGGCGGTCCAACAGCGAACAAACGTCCCCAACTTTGATGCACCTCTCATGGAGAACAAGTCGACGCCCCCAATTGTTCAGCAACCTGTCCCGCAACAACCCAACAACGCCCAGCTCCTGTCGCAGCTGACAGCACAGCCTACTGGATTCTTTCCCCAGCAGACGGGTATACAGCAGGCTAACCCGACTGGCTTCCCTGGCCAGAATCAGCCTCAATTCCTTCAGCCTCAACAAACCGGTTTCATGACGAATCCACAGGCTACGGGATATACTGGCCCTCGGCCTCCGATGCCGCCAATGCCTACTGGTTACGGCTCGAACCTCAGCCCCGCTCAGACCGGTGGGATGCAAGGCCTGGGTGTGCAGCCTACGGGTCTGGTACCGCAACCTACGGGAATACCAGGTCAATGGGGATTCATCAACACACCATCGCAGGGTTTGCCAAATATCGAGGCTATGAAGCAGCAACTCATGCCGCAGCCTGGGCGTGAGGGTGGTTTCAGTACTGTTGGTCTTTCGGGAAATGCTACAGTTGCCTGGGCAATTACGAAGGAGGAGAAGAAGATTTACGATGATCTTTTCCGTGCATGGGACGGTTTCCGCAAGGGTTTCATCAGTGGCGAGACTGCCATCGAGATCATGGGCCAAAGTGGTCTGAATAGAAAAGATCTGGAACGGATCTGGACCCTGGCTGATCCCCACAACCGCGGGCGGCTGAACATGGATGAGTTCGCCGTGGCTATGCACATGATCTACCGTGCTCTGAACGGATACCCAGTTCCTAGCCGTCTACCACCCGAGCTTGTTCCTCCTTCTACAAGACACTTGAATGACTCTATCGGTACAGTCAAGTATCTCCTATCCCAGGATGCTGAAAACCGCAAGGCTACAGGGGCGTTCCTGCAGCCACAGAAGACCGGTGTCAGTTATCTTAAAGATCATTCCTTCCGTGGTGGTGCAGCAGGCTCTTCTGGGGCCAGTCGCAAGGATGCGACGGTTTTCAAGAATAATGACTCCGCTGGTGGATACCGCTCTAGTGCACGCCGTCGCGTGGCTAACGAGGCTCGTACCCCGTCGCCGGCTGCATCTGGCGCATCCGAGGAGGAGTATTCTGTGGAACAGCTGAAAAAGAAGATCCACGAGGCCAAGGTCATGATTGATGCTGCCGACTTCCAGGATGAGAACCGAGCCGAGGATGATGACGCTCTAGACCGCCAGGATCGCCGCGAGGCAGAGAGTCTCATGGACCGTATCCGTCGTGTACAGGACGATCTCGATACTCACCCCAACGCCTCATTCCGTCAAGTGGACAGCGGAGCAGATCGAAGGGCTCTTCGTCGCCAGCTGCAGTCTTTTGAAGATCAAGTTCCTCAGGTTGCATCTGATGTGCGTCGTCTCGAGCGTGAAATCGCGGACGCGAGGCTTGAGCTCTTCCGTCTCAAGGACGCCAAGGCACACCCCGGTGGTGCTTCTAATATCATTGGTACTGGCCCTGGTGGCACTGTGACTGAGGCAGATCGCATCAAGGCTCGCGCGCGTGCGCGTATGCAAGCGCGGGCTGCCGAGCTTTCTGGGCGTCCCGCACCCGCAACGGAAGATGACGATGGCCAAGCGGCTCGTCGTTTAGAGTCCGAGAGCAATACCGTGAAGATGGAGCGGGAGCGCAACGACACTATGACTCGTGATGTCGAAGAAAGTGTTCGTGATTTCGCTCACAGTTTGGAGGACAGTCTTCGGGACGAGGGCCAAAACTCCACACGTGAGCATGAGAAGCGTCGTTGGGAAGATGCATTGGGAGTTGAAGACGTCATCCGCGACTTCATCTACGACTTGAGCCGCAATGCGCGAACAGCAAATGTTCGCAAAGAAGAGTATGTTATTCTTGTCAATTAGGAAAAGTATTCAACGCTGACAGATTATAGACGAGAGAGACCTTCCCTAGATGCGCATTCTCGAGCATCCCCAGCGGCCGAATCTGCTGCTGCGCGCCCTTCGATGCCCACATCCGTGCACTCGTCAAGCTCTCTTCCTGGTAACACACATGAAGATCGTGTGGCGGCTGCTCGGGAGCGTGCACAGAAGCGCATTGCTGAGCGCATGGCGGCTGCTGGTCTGAAGCCAAATGACTCCAGTGAGACTCTTGCGCAACGCCAGGAGCGTGAGAAGAAGGAGCGCGAAGATCGTGTCAGACGCGCCGAGGAAGAGGATGCTAAACGGGAAGAGGAGAGACAACGTCGCTTGGCTGAGGAACGGGGTGTTCCTAGTGATGCAGCCCCGAAGGCTGTGGGCAAGAAACCCCCACCGGCGCCGCCCACCCGCAGGGCTCGGACGGATAGTGCCGGCCAAGCCGATGCTAAGAAGGCAGAGGAATCCGCTAAAATGGAGCAGGCTGCCCGCGAGCAGGCCATTAAGGAAGAACAAGAGGTGCAGGAAGCCGAGACTAAGCGCCTAGAGTGAGTAATCTACAGCCGGTAGAGACAAAATGAGCGGATTTGGCTAATACATCTACAGGAGTGAGGCAAGCCAAGGGGAGTTGGATTTCCAACGCGAGAAGGATGCTCAGGCTGCTCGACTTCGTGCTCTCGAGGAACAAGTCCGCCAAGGCAAAATCAAGAAGCAAGAAGAGAAGCGCCGCCGGGAAGAGGCTAGCCGACAGGCCAAAGAGCAGGAAGCCATTCTTGCAGCCCAGCGCGTTGAACTGGAGGCGGCCAAGGAACGTGAGCTACAGCTGCAGCGTGAACTCGAGGGACTTGACGAGTCATCGTCCGATGACGAAGGCCCTGCCGATATTACGCCTCAGTACAGCACCCCGACGCAGAGCCAGACCCTCCCTACCCCGCCTCCTGTGCCCACGATAGCTATTCCTGAGCCTCCTGCCCCCACGATAGCTATTCCTGAGCCTCCTGCCCCCACGATAGCTATTCCTGAACCTCCTGCCCCCGAAAGCGTGCCTAGCGAGATTGGCTCCCCCGAAAGCAGCCGTGGTGTTCCTGGGCTCACGCCCGATGCTGAGTCCAAAAACCCGTATTTCAAGAACAAAAGCCAGCCATCCGACCCCATCCAAGCGACCTCGCCACCTGCTACAGCTCAGTCTACGAATCCCTTCCACCGCTTCGTCCAGCAAGAACCTATCAAGCCCACCTTCACTGGCGCAGCCCCCTGGAACGTAAGACTCGTGCTCGCCCCGAGGAAGACGACGACTGGTCCGCTGCCGGCTCTGACTTCGATTCATCTGATGATGAGGACGACCGCCCAACCGGCGGCAGCGCCAAACAACTTGCTAGCATCCTGTTCGGCACTATGGCACCCCCACGTCCTCTGAGTGCCATGGACGACGACAAATCTGCCTCGAAATCTGCTACCCCGGTACAAGAAAGCCCAATTGCACCTCCGCCCCCACTCCCAGCAACTCTGCCTCCTCTTCCTGCTATCCCAAGCCCTGGCGATGCCGTATCCCCATCACCCGCGCCATCTGCAGGAGCTCCACCTCCACCTCCCCCTCCGCCTCCTCCCCCAGGAGCTGGTGCTCCTTCTATGGCCCCGCCCCCGCCTCCTGGCGGAGCCCCCTCTGCTCCCCCGCCACCTCCGCCAGCTGGCATCCCACCTCCACCTGCTCCCCCGGCCGCGGCCGGTGGCGCTGGAGCTGGCCGAGGCGCCCTCCTTGCGTCCATCCAGCAAGGCAGGACCCTAAAGAAGACTCAAGTGAATGATCGTAGCACAAGCTCGTCGGCAGGACGCGTGCTGTGAAGAGGGAATTGGAAAGTCTTCTTATTTTTTATTTGAGAGTACATACTGTACAGTGGCGAGGGGAAAGACATGGCCGTACCTACATGATTGGAGAGTAAGGTGACGAGGTCTATGGATAATGGTAGTGTAGTAAGCGAGTAGTTAGCTGCGTTTTTGTACTCTTCTTGGAATACTCATCGATTTTGTTTATTATCATCATTTGGCCTCACATTGCACAATCTGTCCATAAGCGCTGCAAACCGCGTTCATTCTAGGGGTTGTTCACCCGAATCCTTCAACACATCTGACTGATTAAGTACTCCAAAGATAATCCCGGAGGCACTCTAGTCTATCTAGCCTTCTGTTTTGGATTTTCCTTTCCTAGTTGTTGGGATTTATGTATAGGGATGTTGTTCCTTGCCGACTGCCTCAACATCTCTACCCTCTATATCACTATCATATTCAAATACATTTAATTCGCTTGTATTGATTTAGAACCCCGGCACCGATACTCTAAGATAGAGGTCGTACACTCTGCTGGTTATGGAAAACATCATCCGGGTCTACCGCAGCCTTGACCTATAGCACCGGCCACTAAGCCATCCTGACTCAATACATAGACCTCGATGAATCTTACATTTAGAAATGGCAAACACGCCAAGATTGGCCAATTGAAGCATATTATAATTCCATATTCATGACTTTCTTTCCACGGGTCTTCGAAATTTAATAAAGACCCCGACCCCCCATTGTTAATTAACATGTATCGATCAAAGTGAACTAGGTGCATTTTTTAATCATCCCGTTTCCCCTGCTTTCGTAATCGTAAATCGGAGTAGCGAAACGGAGGCATAGGCGCATATGTAGACTTCATTGAATCTGGAAATTCATTGGGACTGCTGTGGCTTATGGAAGAGCCCACTTCATGAATCTCCCTGTTTCCATCGCCGTAGTCATGAAACACCCGTATCCCTGGCACATTTTCTTCTATAACCGGTGCACCTGCTTCTGAATAGGAGCCATGCTGTGATGGCCCAGAAATATCTGTTCGTGTCCTTGGCAGAGTTGACACAAAAGTCTTTCTCGATTTTATGGAAGACTTCTTTTTTGATGATGGGGTGGATGTGCGAGCTGAAGAGTCCAGAATATCTTCATTTATCAAACTTTGAGCCTCAGAAAGGGGGTTTTGCTTGATCTGATTTATGGTGACGACCATCAATTTTGTATTCACGACCAACTTTGGCTGAGTGCTGGTACCGGAGAATTCACTCATTCTCTCAGACAATCGTCGCAGACATCTCTCTTGACTATTAATCGTCCGCCTGAGCTGTTTTCTAGAGTAGAGTTAGACCATATCACTCTGTATTCGTTGCGAAAACATGGGTCTCACATTTGCATCTTAAGAGATTTCATTTCGATTTTTGAGACAGACGGTCTCTCCATGTCTCTCAAACAGAAATCGAGAATGAGCAGACCGTTAAGCGCTGTTAACGTCATTTTGAAACTGGCCAGCGTGATAAGTGGAAGCTGGACCTCATCCTTCATCCAGTGCCACCGAAGCTTTGCGATAAGCTGTTCAAATCGACTAGCATTGCTTTGTTTTCTGAAAGGCTCAAGCTTCAGAAAAATTTCGCCGATTTGTCCAAAAGCGAAAGTAGCTTGGGAATTGAGAGTCTCTTCCAGCTTTTGCTGGCGAGCGAGTTTCATGACCCTGTTGTCCAGAGGGCGACTGATATGGCTGAATATCCCAAACAGGCTCTTGCAGGCGGATACCTCATCTGCGAGAAGATTGACCTCTTGCTTGGCGAATTGGAAGGTATGTTTGAGGCGGTGCAATCGTTTACCACATTTCTCTAGCTGGTTATAGATCGCGAATATCGATGATACCGCTCCAATGGCTTCCATTGCGAATATTGCCTCCCTTCAGTCAGTACACAAAGCCATTATTATACTTTCGATACCTAAGCTGCGGGGTAATGAGGCTTAACGCTGACATGACAGAAGAACCGTGAGAGGATTCAGTGAGCCTATCAGAGTAAAACACGACGTTCCTACATACATAGTGCCGTAGTTTGCATCACATCATGCCCGTGCACATATATTGGTTGTGCATACTACGAGTAGATTATCACTCTCCAATCAATCGGCTTATTCACATTGATTCAGAGTCCTTGGGGCTCGAAACCAAGGTCTGCCTGTGACTCTGTGTTACAGAGAACCGCTACTGTAATGTACCAACCCAAAACCTAATCGCCTCGCTCCATAAAACCATTGAATGGGAGCGGCTCTCCATGAACGCGAAGTTGAAAGCTGCGCATTATACGCTAATGTGAATATGATTAGGTCCTTTGTGGTTTATTGCTTTGAAATACAGTTCGTAATATGCTTGTTTGTTTGTTTTCTTGGGAGAGGGAGGTAATGAGACTCAATGCTGTGTTGGTAGAGGAGCCAACGATAAGAGGGCCCGAGGAGCCTATCAAAGTACAACACGATGTTCCTACATGCATAGTGCCGCAGCTTGGATCACACCATGCCCATGCGCAACGAACGGAGCCGCTGCATAACACCAATTGGCTTGGACAGAAGCTATCGTCTTCGCCTTTTTTCATCTGCTCGAACGCCGGTATTCTTCAATATGAGTATCGAAAACCAGGAATACTCAGTTGATCAAGAGATTATCTCTTTCTTTCAAAAGACTTCCACCGACCGCTCGTCCTGTGATGATCGAGCCCGGACACTTGTCGGAGGCACTGTGACCCCCGTTGCAGTGCAAGGCGTTTGCAGCTATTCTGTATACGCAGGTCTAGAGTATGTGGTTCAGTTCCGACTAAGGTCTCTTGGGCTGAAGACAGAAATTACAAATATTGCCCGCAATGTATATGGATCCCTAGTGCCCTCCGTCTCTTATCACAACCTATCCTTTTGTAAAAACCTCTATCAAAGATATGACGAAGACCTACGGCGGCTCTTAGCTGCTCTACCTGATCGCTTCCACCCAATCATCCAACAATCGATTGACGCTCTACCTGCCATATTTTCGCTGCCTATGGTCCTTCTTCACAAGGATTTTGGTATGTGTAATATCATGGTTGATGCCGACAATAACCATCTGGTCGGAATCATCGACTGGGCCGAAGCGGAGATTGGTCCATTCGGAACGAACCTCCATTCTCTCCAGCAGTTCATGAGCAAATATCGCCTTGGTGTCGGCTGGATTCGATATGGTAACTATGACACTTTGAACAACAACTTTTGGAATATCCTTTCCGCAGACGCTGGGGGTCTCGACGAGGAGACGATGCGAACGATAAAATCTGCAATGATTGTGGGCCTTTTGCTTTCCCATGGATTCACGAGCCGCCTTGCCAATATGCCGAAGCCTGAGCCTATCCGCGACGACGAAAGCGGAGCTTACAGAATGCTTGGTTTGGATGGTTTACTTATCGTTCCTGCTACGAAGATTGTGAATTAGAATTTTCTAGTGAGAAGCGGCCATATGTCATGGGATTTGAGATTTGAACGAGTGAATAAGCTATCTAGTAGTGAGCCAACCCGTAAGTCATGGAGAATATCTGTACATACTATGTATTGGGTTAGATTGAGTGATAAGGTTGCTCCCGTCTGGAGCCATGGAAGTGGAGATGAGTACCCCACTAGGTACGGAGTTGGAAGGAGTACGGAGTGTAAGCTGTTTGGTTGGCTTGGCATAACTACTGGCCAGGGCAATTCTCAGTGGGGGAAGTTGTGACTATTAGATGGCGCTTGCTTTAGGTTAACACGCGTTATGAAGTTATTCAACCTTGGAAGAGGCTGGGGCATATGTAGTAATTCAGCTAAAATAAGGCATTCTGGCATCAAAATCGCCCTAAAGGAGATTTTGAACCCTCGGAGTTGGAAGCTGCAATAGGATACACCCCAAGCTATGAGACACCAGTAAAACCAAATGTATAAGCTGTTGTATACAGAAACTCGGAGTTGAGGATGCATTTCGTATGTCATAGCCCTTTCATAATTATTTCGCATACAAAAAGACTGTACTATTGGCATGCGATGAGCTGTACATTGCAAACTGGAACGCAGAAAAAAAAAACACCGACACAATGACTGACCAATACCAACTCCAAACCAAACCAACATAACCGCTAGACCAATAAGTCGCATTCTTAATTGGTGCGTACATCTTCCAACACCAATTCATAAGACAACTTCCGCAATCACATTGCCTAGGGTACTCACACACCATACAGCGACAAGACCCCACCCAATCCGGCGATCCATTCTCCAATTGTTCAAAGGAACAACAATCAAGAGCCCAACTAGGATAACCAGAAGCGTCGCGCCGCTGATAACAAGCACCTTGGAGATGGCGATCTCATAGGGGGCCTGCACAGGAGCGATACCCTGCAGCGCCTCATTGTGTCTCTGGTTCCCGCCATTGATGGTCATATACAGACCACCAAGACCGATACCGAGGAGGATATTGAGCATTGGTCCACCGAAGCAGGCGCTCAAAGCCATGACTGGATATCCGAGTCGGGCGACTGTGATATCAGCGACTAGATCGCCTAGCGAGTTTCCGACGGCGAAGACGGTCAATCCAAGTAGGGAATCAGAGATGTTGAGGATAACTCCGATGGTTTTGAGGAGAGAGACAACTTCTGTAGCGATCGTCGCGATCCAGGATATGGCGACTAGGAAGCCAAGTAGGGAGAGGAAGGGCCGCCATTGCGGTGGGAGGCCGAGGATGTCGGTTTGGGATGCACGCGGGAGGAAAGGGATGGAAAGATCTTCACTGGGACGTCGGTGGTTTCGTTGACGGCGAGTGCTTATTATCAGGGCTGTGAGACAGACGGAAGAGAATAAGAGGGAGACAAGGGAGGGGAGGATGAGATTGCGCAGCCGACGATCTTCGTCCACGGTCGTCCAGGTGATGAGCACGGCGAAGAAGGGGCCTGTGAAAAGCTGGATGGAAACCAGCCAGCGATTCCAGTCCTTTGTTGGTACAGGATGCGCAGAAGGTGAAGCTGGCCTTGGCACTGCCGGGAGTTCCGAGTCCCATCGCGGACGACCAGTGTGTTCATGAAAGGACTTTCGATGGTGGTGCGTTGGCGGCGCATTAGAAGCTGACCCGGCGTAGTCATGTGCCTGGGCCATAATCACTGGACTATCGGCTGGAAGTCTAACCCTTGGGGAGGGATGGTCTACATCGCTGACGTCCTGAATAATCACCGAGGGTATGGGGTCCAGTTCCACCGACTCTGGTGCCTCTGGCTCAATGACGGGGACCGTTATGGTAAGAAGCAGCACACTAGGAGCTGCGATAATACCGAGCAGTCGTTCCCAGACATTTTTAGACTTCCAGCCCGCCAGGGTCGGGAAGAGCGTGCAACCAATCTGCTGGGGAGGGGGGATCGAGTCAGGCCACCAATTCCTCAGGTATTTGGGAAAAGGGACGCCTACATGAGCGAAATCGTCATACCCGTCGTGAACTTGTAGCAGTTCTAACTGACTGGCTGAATTTGGAAGTCGAATGCTGGGTGGTCGTGAGAATTCCATGGAGGGTATATCAGTATACAATGGGAAGGGCACTGAAGGGCTTTCTAACCCAAAGCCTGAATGACGGCGCGTCGTATTGCCCCTGGGAGATACTGACATTGGGGACCGTTCATTTATCCCCCCGTTGTTGTAATTGGGGGAATTAAAAACGTCTGATGGGGCGAGCCGGTCAGGAGTTTGAGGACTTGGCGACCGATTCGCACGCGACACATCCAGCGTCATCCCAGTATCAATTCGAGGGAGATGGCGCGACCGCATGGCTTCTTGTCCCGAAGTATCCTCAAAAGAAGGTCTGCTCACTGTAAGCAGTGGACCCTGTGTTGGTCGGGGCTCCAAAACACTGGAGTCAATTTTCAAACCCACGGCATCGTTCGCCGATACAGCTCGAACTCGAGAGGAACCTGCTGCACTAGACGGCGACAGGCGGTCGTTAGTGGCAGATGGTCGACTGGCGCGAGGATGCGATGCCACTGAGCGCGTGTCAAAATCGGACTCGTAGTCGTCTGAATAGCTGTTCAGGCTTATTGACGTATTGCGATTCGTGTTTCTCGATTTCTGCAGCGAGTGTAGAACAGACTGAAATTCTAATGCCCCGACAAGACTTGCCCGAATGGGATTCATTGTATTACGCCTCGCTCGCATGGGCCGATAGACGTGCATGTTATCACGAATCTCGGCCAAGTACCGGTTTCGTGTTTCGTCATCCTCCTCGTCCTCCTCGTCATCTTCTTTCCATAGAGGAACAGCCTCAGCACGCTCCAAAATATCAAAATCCTCAGTTGAGGCTCCGCGGAGCAGACTTCGTGACTCTGACGCTACACCGGGATCGTCGTCCTCGATGGTCTCTTCGATCTCCAGCTCTTGGTTTTCCGGTATATGAAAGTGAGCTCGCGCTGCGAGGTCTCTCTCGTGCTTTCTGCGTCGCCGTACCATATACCAGTGCCACGTTACCACCATTACGACATAGAAGGCGTACAAGCCTACCATCGCAGCTGCCTCCCATACATGAAGTTTCCCATCGGCCAACAAAAACATGCTGAAAACGACGGCCACTATGAAGTAGCCCACGTCTCGGACGAAACTTCTCCGCGCGACCTTGAATGGCCGAACTAATGCCATGGAACCCGCGACAACGGACGTGATGAAAGTGGCCGCGCCGATTAACTCACCGATTGCCAAGCTCCCACTATTCGACCGCATGGCGGCGAAAGTGGAAAACACATCAGGACTTCCATTGCCAAATGCGAGGAATGTCACGCCAGTGAGACTCTCGCTCAATCCTAGAATGCTAGCCAATGTACTCAGATCGATACACAAGAAATCGCTTGCCGCGATACCTATGGTACTGAAGAGCATCGATAACCACAGGATCAATATCGCGAATGCTACCGGTTTTGCATTGGCCAGCCCGCAATAGTAAAATTGAAGGTAGGAGATTAGACCATCCTCGTGATCGGGGCAGTTGGCGCGGACGTATGCACACTGGTTTTTGACGTTGCGGACTAAGCGACACTATCATCGTGTGACAGAACATCAATTAGCCTTTGGCACCATCTCACAGAGAAATGATTCGGGAAGGTTAAGATACCTCTAGTTCGCCCTCTCGTTTGAGCAGGTTTATATACAGCCCTGTACCCGGTTGCGCAAACTGCCCATGTTCATTTGTAGTACCAGTTAGGAACCAACTCGTTATTGCAATAAGTGTAAACACCAACAACGTGGTGTAAAATGGTCGGATTGAATATCGTGGCTTCCGGACGGCAGGCTGCAGGAAGGACAGCAGCTGGTTCATCATGACGAGAAGTATGGCGGCATCGTGAGCCGAAGACTTTGGATGCTGTAGACAAACTTATGCCGGAAATATCAACGTTGAAGACTCAATGCATGTACAATATATACCTCACGCATCCAACAGATGTGGGTTTGTATATGGCACGGTGAGTGCGGTGAGTGCGGTGATGTCAGCTGAGAGGAGCTGTGGCGGAGCTCGGGAGTGGGCCAATGCACTTAGTCCGCCGATCGTTGTTGCACTGAGGAAACAGGTTAAGAGGGTCGATCGCAGATAGGGTTGTAACTAGTCCAAGATAAGAGGGTGAGAAAGGAATTGGCTGTTGAAGGTTCAAAAGGATAGACCGAAGCTAAGCCCAGCTTGGGTACAAAAGTAATACCTGATATTCCAGGCATTCATGGTCCAGGATTACGTGATAGATAGTGCGTCACCGGTACATCTAGACCACCGTATGTTTGTTGACTTCCCCATTTGTTTTGTCTCATCGACATCAACCCCTCTCTCCATAGAACTTTCCATTTCAACGCTGTTATCGCCATCCCCTATCGGGGGCAACCGCAACCATGCCGCGTGTCGCAAACAAGGTACATCGCCGCTCTAACGGCAACTCGACCCCGCACAAAAACACACCGGTCAAGTACGGATCTGGATATCTCCTGGTTATCGCATTGAACTAATTATATCAGGATACCCCTCAACGACGATGAGGGCGAGAAGGCAGCGCGTATGGAGGCTCGTCAAGCACTTCATGATCGCCAAATGAGTCAGATTAAAGCGGCAGTCAAGACGCCTATGCCACCCCGTCGGTACACCCTCGATCGTGAAGAGAGCGACAGTCCCGTAACTCCTCGAGCCTCACATCATCGCAGTCGCATCAGCGACGTCAATGGCCGTGCAGTGACACCGATGAAGCGCGTGCCTATCTTGGCCAATTTTGAAGAGTGGATGAAGATGGCGACCGATAACAAAATCAATGCGAATAACTCCTGGAACTTTGCGCTGATCGACTATTTTCACGACATGTCATTACTGAAGGAAGGAGATGGTGTAAACTTCCAAAAGGCTAGTTGCACCCTTGACGGTTGTGTTAAAATCTACACCAGCCGAGTGGACAGTGTTGCAACAGAGACAGGGAAACTTCTGAGTGGACTGGCTGATAGTCGCGACAAGAGAGGGCGCGGGGAGGAGGATGCAGAAGATGGCGATGAGGATGAAGAAGGCGAGGATGGTCAGCCTCGCAGGTCGCGGAAAAAGGTATGGTCTATACGGTGTCAGAGATTTGGGATTTTGACTAACTAGATGTGTCTAGACACGTTCCCATGAGGCTACCCTCGCGCCGTCATTTTCGTCATTGCAACTAAAGAAGTTCGAGCTAGAGTTCGCCGTGGACCCTCTATTCAAAAAAGCATCGGCAGACTTTGATGAAGGAGGCGCCAAAGGCTTACTTCTGAACCACCTTGCTATTGATAGCCATGGAAGAATTGTTTTCGATAGCAGCGACGATGCTGTGGACGATAGTGCAAAAACCTCCGAAGATGACCGTCAAGAGTCTACGGATCCTGACCAGCAGACCGATGACCAAGCAAAACCAAACCAGAAACCCGCAAGCGACACATTTGAGAATAACACGGAGATCGACCTTGCTACACTAGCAAGCCGATTTTTCCCAGATCTAGATCGCCTAGATGAACAAGATATTTGTCCATCGCTTAAAAACCTCGACTTGGGTGACCCCAGCGGGTCGCTGGATCTCCCTCTCCTCAAAGCGCCAGAGGAATGGCGGCAAGACAAGATGGACGAAGATGGACGAGCACATGATGACCCATCTGGTATCATGCTGGACGACGACAACGCTGTCGGGTTTGATGACGATGATGCTACCCTAGCCGGATTTGATCTCAGCGGCGACACTGGGTTTGGTGACGGAGGAGAGGTATGGGCTCGGGAAGCCGCCTTGGAACCAATGTTGAATGTTCACCGGACCACCCACGATGGGGATAATGATGGTGAGGGTGACGATGGCAATGAAGACGCATATGCCATCTCCATGTCTCATCAAACTAATAGTCACGACCACGAGAATATTCTTAGCTACTTTGACAACGCGCTACAGAAGAACTGGGCTGGCCCAGAGCACTGGAAGATTCGAAGAATCAAAGAACATGCCACACCCGCTACGTCGGCGCCCAAGCAGCGCAAAGAAAAAGAGCCCTTTGAGATTGATTTTGCTGCCCCTCTGGATCCTGCTGTCGCGGAATTGATATACACCCCGGCCAGCTCCAACTCCGCCGTTTCATTACCCAAGACGCAGTGGAAAACAAAGGGTCGCAACCTTCTTCCCGATGACAAGCATTTCAACTCCCGTAACCTACTCACATTGTTCCTCAAGCCAAAGGCAAAGATGGGCTCAAAGAAGATTTTGGGCAAACGCCGCCGGCAGGACTTGACGGCTGGTAATGGAGACATGGACGAGGCATTCTGGGCAAATCGCAAGCCGGAAGAAAACGCCGGCGAGGAAGGTGCTGCAGGTGCCTATGATGCCAATTTCTTTGCTGATGACGATGGTCTTGCTTTCCCGAACGGCATGGATCTCGATGACGACGACAATCTACCATTCGCGGATGCCCGGGAGATGCTCTCTCCGCCAGCAGACGGGACTGCAGGCACATCGGCTGGAGAAGCAGGTGGAGCAACTGGACTCAGCGCGCTCTTGAATATGGTTGGCGCCACGCCTGGCCGACCGGGAGCTGGTGGCTACGGATCGCAATTGGTGACACAAGGCGGTCGTCGTGCACGACCAGACTACGTGGCGTATGCACGTGTGGCAAAGAAGGTTGACGTTCGGCGTCTTAAAACCGAGATGTGGAAGGGCATGGGCGAGCGCCTGGTTGATGCCGTGGACTTCGCCTCAGCTTCACAGCCAGGAGCCGTGTCCAGTGATGCTCCGACCGAACCCGAGAGTGAATCGGATGCCCCTGTCCCGCCTACACCCAAGGGTGAGAGCCCAGAGCAGGTGGGTGGTCGGCTACGGTTCACGCAAATTATGAACTCCCTCAAGGAAGTCTACCCGGCTGAGACTCTACGCGATATCAGCACCTCATTCGGGTTTATTTGTCTTCTGCATCTTGCCAACGAACAGGGCCTCGTGCTGGAGAGTGATCTTAGCAAGATGGGCAATGATGCGGCTACCCTAGAGGAGATCTTCGTAAGTAGGGATACGCACGCTATCATCGAAGAGGGAGGAGGGATGTGAAAGCTCGTTTTTTGGTTGCATGTACAGTTGACGCGGGTAGAAGCATTACGATATGCATGTTGGTCACGAGTGATGAACAGGACGGTGTGACTTGGTAGATCCTTGCGGCGTTATGGTTCTGCTTTTTCCTGTTCGCAGTGAATGGCGCTCTTGGGTATTTTCGCCTCCTGGAATTACTTCTTTTGTTTTGATGAATTTAAAGAAGTTCATATACTTTCTGGTATAATGCTTAAATGGTCTCAAGTCAAAGTAGGATTAGTTTGTCACCTTAGTGTTGTATGCCGACACGAACACTTGCCGATGCTAGGATGAAAATCTGAGGAGCACATTCATATGTATCATTGCAATATATTCATTTGTTGGACAAAAATCAAAAATAGAAAGAGAGTAAATACACAACAGTGTACCAAAGTCCAAATAGGTATCTGTATCTCACACCAAGACTCCACGCGTCCTAGGGTGTACATTAAACTCCATAACGAGGAGAGAGCAACAAAAGAAGGTTGAACATATGTCCGATTGTGAAGCAGATCGACCGAAGATGACGACCTGAATTATAGTTTTGGGATTTTCCATGTTTTTTTTTGTATTTTCGTTGTTCCTGAGCACTTTCATTCCCCACCAGGGAAAATGGAATCGAAGCAAAACACCCTAAGTCAAAAGATATAAAAAGACAAGCTTGCAGTCATCCACATTTATTTGCGTGCAGGGGCCGGGTACGCCGGGACGGTGGAAGCCTGATAGGCGCCGGGAATCGGCACGGAATCGTAAGTGCACTCACTGGGAGGAGTACCCCTGTTCATAGGCGGACTCTGGCGCTGGCTGTGAGGAGGTGGCGACGGCGAATAATGAGAAGGAGGAGCAAACTCCTCCTGGGCAGTCTGGGGGGTTGGCTGCTGGACCTTGATAGGAGGCGGCTGGAGTTGGAACGACGGGGTAGGCCGGGTAGGTGAGCGCGGCGAGGCATACTGAGTAGTTTGGGGTTGAGCCATGCCCTTCTCAGCAGCCGAGTAGGGGTCCACAGGGCCGACGGCGTAGATTGGGGTCTTTGGAGGGTAGGAAGTGAAACCTGTGAAGCCGGGGGTGTTCGGGGCAGATTTCAGGCGCAGTTGTGCGAGATATAGATCTGAACGGGCGTTGTCACGGGTGTCCATGGACTTCATCAGCTTGCGCTTGCTCCAGACGCGGTAGAAGACTACCACGTAGATCAGGATAACTAGGATTTCGATGACGATTTCGATGATGGCACAGACGAGGCCCCAGTCTTGTAGACGACAAAGGAGAGCATAGTCGACGCTGTTGTGGTAGATCTCCTCGCGGGTGTTCTGCGCGCAGGACCATCCCCACATGTCCTTGGTGTTCCCTGTGGATTTCGAGTGCTGGTAAACTGCCGCGCCGACGACCCACATGATCAGATTCACGGCGAAAAAGGCGATCGAGAAGCTGGTGTAGTAGACGGCGGCCTTTTCGGCGCGTCCGTGGCCGCCCTTTCGGTAGGCCCAGAACACGATGAGACAAGCGACTAAGGAAACGCAGGACATTCCCAGAAGGAGATACTGAGCCCATGGGTTGGTTCCCTCTGCCCAGGCAGGAAGACTGTTACGAGTCGGCAGGTGCTTGGTTGCGTTGAAGACAGTCAATGTCACGGCTAGCAGAGACAGCACAATCAGACTGCAACCGAAATTGACGCAACGCAGGAAGATCTTGGCGATTCTGACGCGGAGTTTGATTCTCTGGTGACGATTAGTAAATAGTATCGATTGGCATCGTGGGCTTTCTTACCAGGTCTCGAGCATTCTCGACTTCAGCCTTCTTTTCTTGCTTCTCAAGCATGTACTCCTCGCGGAAAGTTGGACTGAGCGGATTCAACGACTTGGCCGTCTGCGGCACCTTCAGGTCAGGTCGGAAAGGCGACATTGGCACCTGGTCATTCGCATGCTCATTGTTCGCTGCCACATAACCGAATCCCACATCTCCAACATCTCCCTTCGCCTGAGACTTGGGAGGGTCGGCGAAAGGTGATTGTCCAGCTTCTGTGCGATCGATGGGAGAGTGAATTGATGTGGCCTCGGCGAATCGAGCAGTGCGCGGGCTCTTGAGCGAGGCATTGCTCGTATCAGAGCCGCTGCGAGTCTCTCGCACGGTGTGTTGTGGTGGAGGACCCATTGCACTGTGGTAAGAGGCACGGGTGAGATCTGTAGGAACAACTGGCTCGTAGGTCAGAGGAGAGTTGTCTCGGCTATCGTCTGATACCGCCATTGAATGGATGAGCAATGCAGGCAAATAAATCAAACAATTAGGTCAAGAGAACCAGCTCTTGACGACCACTGGACTGATTGTTGGGAATAGAACGACCCTAAAGTCCATACACCAAGAATCACAAGTGTGGTGGGACAACGGCTGAGCTATATCACCGCTACCGTGTGCGAAGCCTGCGTACACGAGTATTAAGTAGCAGATGATCGAAAACGAAAAAAAACGAAGATAATCAGAAAGTGACAGGAACCAGCCTGGGCACCTAGAATATCAATAATGTTCGAGTGCAGGCATGGCCCGAGAGGCGGGGGACCAAAATGCAGGCTTTTGATTCTCATCACTCGAGTTGGGCCAGCGTAAGCGCCGAGGGGGAATTTGCAACAGCGACCAGGGACATGATTGGAAGACGCAATGCCTGTCAAGCCCTCTTGCTGCAAGTGCACTGTACCTCGATGCTTGAGAGGGGAGTGTGACTGGACGACGGGAGTGATCAGCCAAGCTTGTCACGGTGGAGTAACGGGCCAGTGAGATTGTGTAGCGGCCATGCTCACTCCTCACGATGCACGTCCATCACCTCCATCACCTCCAGCCCGGCGCTAATCCGCCGATCGTCCAACCACACAGAATGTAGAACCGCTCTACTCCGTAATAGTGTGTGAGATGAATGAGCGGTCCGAGGGAAGATGTGACTGGAGGTCAACCCAAAATAGAGGTCCAGTCACATACGTCGATTAAGCACACTTGGATGTTGGGATGTTGGAGAGGGGAAAACACCGAGAGGGGTCTGTGCACGCTCTGCTATTTTTGCCTTGAAGCAGACCGTGTCACACTCGTGATAGTGATAGTGATAGTGCCCTAGCTCATGCATATGTCTCAATCCATGCCGAGTAGCTTTTCTGGGGATCTCTCCAGTATTCCGTCTTATTTTTATAGAAAGTCAATTGTCCACTTATCTTGTCATACCCTATTCCCGTCTTCCCCAAGCTCTTCGATCTTAATATAGAATCTGCCGAGTTTTATATGATGAGCACGATAGTAATTCCTATGTGTGAATACCAAGATAGGTAGCCGCCCGGACGGGAACGCCATTTAGTTAGCTGCAGATGTGCATATCACGTCAGCCCAGTCAAGAGGTACCTCAGTATCGGTATCCTTGCACTCCCCTTCGCATTCTCTTCTCTTATTACCTCCAGTTTCTCCCCCTCTATCAATGTCTGTGAGCTGCATGAAGAAAACAAATCCAGTGAATCTGTCGCTTTCAGTCAACTACTCCGTAGTCATATCACAGCCATATATCGAATATCTGTATGATGGGATGCTCCATAAAGGAACGGTTTAACCGCCGACGAGAAAGGCGCCAAGCTCGCAAGCAACTGATGTTGTCTCCTTCATCACCGAAAGAGATAGGTGCATCTATGATAACTGGCTGGCCAAAAGAAGCCAGAGTCAATGATCTCAAATTAGAATTGAAAAGCGCCTCTGATATCATGACTGGGCAAAGAAATACCGCCAATAAGATTCATCATAAGAGTACCATCAACACTCTGATCAGTAAGGGCCGTTTCATGTTGATGGCTAATACATGGCCCCTGCCCAGGTGCGCATTCCAGGACATATTGTTACAGTACGTACTTCCGGAATTCAGTATCATCACCTACACTCTTTAGGATTATACAATTATATTATTTGTAAATCGATAGGGCTCCAATATGGAACGCCCCAGTGAACATACTTTCTGATGCGGAATTTTGACAATCGTGATCTGAACAGAGAGCTTCTAGCCACCCAAGAAGGATTCAGTATCCGAGATATATGCTGGGGAGTTTGTAGATTTGGGGAGTTGAATTCGGCCCCATTGGGTAGACTATATAAAGCCAAGATACGGTTAGAGACGGTATGATTCGTAGGCGCATTAAGTTAGCCCTGGAGTTGCTGTCAATTACCTGAGAGATCTTATCTTTTGTACGATCTGAGCCATTTCGGATTGATCTGCCGGATTCACGCCATATTGTGCCGGTGTTGCCAATACTGAATCCAGAAAACCGAAAATCTGTTTATTCTCGTTAGATGTATTGCTCTATACGATACCTCTGGAATAACGGAGTGGATTTGGGTTACCTGGGATCTTTTCCAAGTATAACCAACTCTTAGATCCAAAGAGCCACCACACGCCGGCAATATATTCTCTGAGAACGTGCTCGGGGCAGCCGGGCCCATACCCCCTGGTGTAACGTGCCAGGTCTTACAAGAAAGAGTGCATTTAATTCAAAATAACTAAGATGAGGAGAGAAAGAAGAAGTAAGTTGCGAAGTGGGAAGCAGCCAGTTATTATAGCTGACCACTTTGCAAGCGTTGCAAACAACCAACCTTCTCGCTTAGCTACTAACAAGCAATCTATGGAATGCAAACTAGTAAACTATGCAAACAGTAAGCGAGCAAGCAAACATGAAGCATAATGATAGCGATCCATGTGGATCGTGACATACCTAGGCGGTTGCCCGAGCGGTTAACAGAGCAGTTTCTCAAGCAGTTACATAAGCGGTTGCTTAAGCAGTTTCTTAAGTAGTTGCTCAAGTGATTGACGATGAAGTAGTTAGTAATGATATGACAAAAGGGACTTAATTTTATTAGTGGTTTACATACAAATTGTAGGTACCTACTGTCTTACTACTATCATATGGCAGGAAATATGCTAATTGTGAATGCGGTACTGAAATTACAGGCAGTGGGGAGAATAAGCCAGTAAGAGGGTGGCTTTGCGTAGAATTAGAAGTTGGAATCAGTCGCCTCGCTCTGCAACGACTATCTGGAGACCTTAGGCCGTCGAGATCCCTAGTATATTAGAGACTAAGAAAGCGAGCCATGATGTAGACGATGAAGACTGCGAGATTGCGTCCTCGAAACTGTTGAGAACCCACTTCACTGAACGTAAGCATCCGAAGTAGAGTCTTATAATCGTTTCATCACTGAAATTCTCTTCCGTATGTCTGATATTTAAAGATGACTTGTCTAAAAAAAGACTTTGACGTCATCAGTGGCGAAAAAAGCCGCGCATTTTTTATTGCACCTAGCAAGCATAAGAGACCGATAGACCTCTTGCTGTCAAATTGGATACAGATGCTGTATTTGCAGTCTAATGAGACTTACTGAGCTCTTCAAATGCCAAGGTTGTAATGGCAACATGTGCCTAGGAATACTTAGAAACACCCTTGAAGTGATTAAAATACAACAGCCGGCATTGTGAGAGAGGCGACTTAAGAGGTGGAGTGTTGCCCACGGAGGTGATGAGCAGGCAGCAACTGTGTTCCATTGGCGGGATTGCTTTGGGACAGTGGCCAATCATGTCGTACCTCAAGCATACCCTAGGTAATGAGACATGAGTACTCCGTACAAGAAGCAGTATTAGTTGGGGTATCTCCCAAATTTACAAGAAGAGTATTATTCCAGAACTATTTTAAAATAGTCTATAGTTGGTCTTGGCATTAGGGTGGCGAGACCGATGTTCAGAAGCAGGATCAGGAGATATTGTCCGTGCCAAACCTCAACAGCCCCCGGACCCCGTTTCTAACGTATCCATGGATGTTCTAATATAATTGGCTGACTCGAGAAACAATGATACCAAAGAATGACACCTGCTATGATGGGCAGGATACATTGACAGTGATAAAGTTCTCAGCAGAGGGGCTTGAGGGAGTGGCAAGAGTGGCAACTGCGTGAACATCTATTCTACGAGGAGAAGACAATGTTTAGGATGATAATTTGCACGAGAATATATGGGAAGTAGTATCTGTTATAAGAGATGATGTAGTTCACGCTTGATCTTAACGCTACCGTCGGTATGATATCAATCCTCTCGACCACATGGACTGACAGAAACATTTTAACTTATCGGAGACTTGGCCACGAAGCTTCCCGTTTCATGCAGGTATCTAGAGTAATATAGGGAATGACAAGTACCAGCCACAGGCTATTTTTGGGGGTGGAGTACGTAGCCGTCAAGGACTGAACAACCTTGGAAGGCCGCTAGAACACTCCACAGGGGTTCCCTGGTTCTAGATATAATGCGTTGCATGATAGATTAGATATAGCTGTCAATCACCGTAGGTTAAAAGAAACGGTACACTCCAGATGCTCATGGACCTTTGTACCTTGGGGACTAGCCACATAGTATATATGTATGTATTTAGTATGACCGACGTGGTACTGTGCCATGGGGCTCTGCGAGGTCGATCCCCCAGCCACCTGAGGCGCCTAAAACGTACAACGTTATAGGTACACTGCCTGAAACATGGCGCAGCAAGTGTGTTGCGCCTTGTGTCACCAAGGTAATCATGGGCAATGGGCAAGGACATATTAATAAAGTAATTAAAGTTGCTCAAGAAGTCAGTACATTACATAGAACTTGCGTGTATTGTATGTAGTACCTAGTGGGTACATCGGCACTACAGATCTCCACAAGATCAGGCGTTCTATTGAATTGAGAATTAGAATGTATTACATACAATATATTATACGCGGGTCTCCGGGGTGACATCAGTCCGATTGCCCCTGTATATGCACTCCATACCAAGACCATGGTAGTAATAGAGAAATACCGGTTTGAAGAGAGATGATCTCATACCGTTTATACTTAAGCCTCAAGATGTCGATCGTACTAGATAGGTTTCTAAACTTTTGCAATGAATGTAAGTGAATGCAATTGCATTGTAAGGCAACGTGGACGGAAGAGGGAGGTCAGCCGCAGGAAATGCCCCACGAGCCAGCCACAAAGTGTTAGCGGTCTACACAGCCTCAATCCTAATTAAGTACTGTATACTTGTTCATACAGGGTATCTGTATTGTAATATCAAGTCCTCCGTACCTCATTACCTCAGGGTTCATTTCTCCAGAGCCTCGACTCTCCAGTCCCCACCAAACATATCCATCCCCTGCCCAGTTTCTGTTCTCACGCTCACTTTCTTTGTGTCTTTTCTTTTTGCCTTCGGATCTTAGACGATAGATGAGTGTAAATGGTATGAACTAGTTCATTACCATCCACTTCTCTGTTCACCACTCACATTCTTCCATCTCTTGGTCTCATTTCGTTCCTGCGCCCCGACTGTTCCAACCTTCAGATGGCCATTGAATCTCATCCACTCATTCCCCGATCGCTATTTTAAAGGCCTAAGCCCCTGGGATCATTCAGGTGGATCTTGACAAGTTTGAAGCTGAAACCACTCGTCAGCTTGCGCCACACTCGTGAGAAACGCCCCACACGCCCTGGTCTTCGCTCTCTTCCCCCCCCAACCTCGTCTGCTTGACCATCTTTGATATATCCCGGTGGATGAAAGTTAGTCAAGTTCCTTTCCCCCACCAATCCTCCTTGCATTATCCTAACATGGCATCTAAAGTAGCTTTCGCCTTTGCTCGTCCACCCTTTGAGGCTGGCGCGAAACATTCTTTCTCCATGGCGACGTTGATGTCGAACAACGAGCCCATCACTGTCTCCAACTCGCTATCCGCAAACTCTATTACCAGCTCTGAACCCCTCTCTTTATTCAAATCTTCCAAACCCGAAAGCCTGAGCTCGATTGCCAGCGCCGGCCTACACGTCTCGCGATCAAGAGATCAACTTCCTCCCATGACAAGTCCAATATCAGTACCGGCGGATCGGCCGGAGCATGAGAAGGACGCCGAACGAAACAGTTCACAGGTGGCTCGGGAGGCTCTAGGTGCAAGTGAAAAGTCGCCAGGTGCCCCAAACCATGAGCATTCAGTCCATGCATCCCCGGAGCAGATGCAAATCGACTCACACGCGACTGAACCATCATCGGACCCATACGGATCAAACGATCATCACCACAACTCACTAATGCATACCTCGACTGTAGCTAGCCCTGGTCCTATTGAGGAATCGGCTTCTCAAGATGGAGATCGCCGGTCGCGTGATAACTCCGAGATCGACCACGATGGCAAATCATTCTCATATCCGATGCCGACGGGTAATATTAACGATCCGCGTCGCGGACTGAGCCTACCGACCGCAGGCTACCATCGAGGCAGTCCTCGCTCTCCGTCGGCGAAGAAACACCGCTGCCCATACTGCGCGACAGAATTTACGCGTCAACATAATCTCAAGAGCCATCTGCTCACCCACAGTCAGGAGAAGCCGTTCGTTTGTCAAACCTGCCAGTCACGTTTCCGAAGATTACACGATTTGAAGCGCCATGCGAAGCTGCACACCGGCGAGCGACCACACATTTGTCCTAAATGTGGACGTCGTTTTGCCCGAGGTGATGCGCTTGCTCGGCACAATAAAGGACAGGGGGGCTGCGCAGGTCGACGCGCGAGTATGGGCAGCTTTGCGGCAGATGACGACTATGGCGATGGTACGAATGGGGGAACCGACGACATGGATGGGTTGATGTACACAGCAGAGCCTGAGCGCATGGACGAAGAGGACGAGCGAAGAATGACCATGCCGAGCATTCGCAAGCACGAGGCAGATACAGTCGCTCGATCTGATTCAATTCACTCACGCCAGTCAAACACTTACCCGCCACTTACCGCCGGTCGTCCCAGCCACCTTTTCCCACCCCCAGCCAATCATGGTGGATCAGGCGTGTCAACATCGGCTTCACAGTCTACACACATGACTTTCCCGCCTGCGGGACTCACCTCGGGCTCCTCTATCTTCCCTACCAATAGTATAAGTGATAGCCCTAAGCCCCTGTCCCCGAACGCGCTCTCATCGCAACATGATAATGCACCGCCACATCGCGCACACTCTCCCGGCATGGGACAGTCCTTGCCACACCCGCAGTCCTCTTTCGGACGAGCGAATCAATCTTCAAATCACGCACCGCCTACACTAGGATTGACTCTGCCGCAGCCAGGCGCGCCGCAGCTGCCTCCGCCGCCGGGTATGACCTCCCCGGATGCTCGATTTGGCATGCAAGCTGCAACCAAACACACTCCTTCGCATAGCCACTCCAGTACCCACAGTATATCTCATCTCAAGGGATTCGATGGGGCGGATGCTAATTCCAGTGACGCCAGCCAAATCGATAAGCTTTGGGCGTACGTGCGAACAATGCACGACGAATTGACAGGCTTGCGAACTGAAGTTGCGGCTTTGCGGGCGCACGTTGCGTCGTCCAATTCGATGCCCCCGGCTCCGGTAGAAGTAAACTTGAATAACTCCGGAGCGCGGTGATACGTTCTTGGGTGGTTCTTGTACGATATGGCGTGGCTGACCATCAGCCACGTGAACTGGTTGTTATGTCCTCCCCTCCTTCTCCACTTTGTCCATACGCCTTGATTATCCCATCCTCGTTTGAGGGTCAAACTTGATGCCCTCATGATTACCCTGCCGACAGTTGCCGGCGTTGGTGTTTTCTATGCCCCGTTATTCTCTTTCTTTTCTTTCTCTTCTTTTTTCCCCCCTTTACCCCCGGAGTTATGTCATCCGGGAGAGCTTTCCGTTCTAGCCTACTTTATTCATACCTGGAGTGCGCTGCAAAGTGTGTCCTTTTTCCCCCTCTTCCTTTTTTTTTTGAGCAGCCGAAGGAGTTTGGCGTGTCAAACAAAAAAATGATCTGAGATCGCGATGGAATGGAGAACATTACTTCTCACTAAACTGCGACCTTGATCCCCTCTGTCCTGTTGTCGACTTCATACCAAAGATGGAATCATGTGATTGTGTTTGGATATGTGCATGGATTACGCTGGATTTGGAGTTTTTATTCGTAATGCTGCTATTACCGACTTAGTTAGTGATAATATACTCTTCAATCAGTCAGATGAATGGGTACGGTATAATTGTTTATAGGTAGATGCTTCCCCATGGGAGACGGATACTATCTTAAACATAACAATTATTCTCAATTTTCTTTTTTCCTCGATCTCTATCATGTTACAACTATATGTTCTTGTGGAAGACAAGGATTGGAGACTGAGGCATATCTGCTCCAGGGATGGTGGAATATATACTGACTTGATGCCAAAGTCGGCAGGAACAAGTTTGAACTCGTGATCCGTTAGGATCAATAAACCGCACTTGACCTTCTATATATTTCCCTTATATTACCTGCCCGGGTGCCATCGAGACAGACATGAAGAAAGATTAACGAAAGACCAACGATACTTCGTGACTATGCTCCTAGATGACCACATCTCCATGGATAGCCCCAGTTAAGAGTTAACCTTAATATGACTCCTTTCTCCTACACAATCCATCCATCTTTCTCAAATACACCCAAGACTCTCCTTGATCTCTTGCCTTGTATCTAATGGCGATCGATCTACGTTGTATCTGCAATGAGGAAAACAACCAGTGTCGATTCGACTAAGATAAAGTGGACAAGAGGAGGAAAGAGAGAAGAGGAGGGAAGCGGAACTATCTACTGATCTGGACCCACATGGGTGACCGCCTTCCGGTCACCCAACAGTATCATAAAATCACCTCTCCACTGCTTTCACAAGAGATACGTCTCATCTCACCAAGACTAGGGTTAGCGGATTCACGAGAGATCATCTTTCCATTTGACCTTCGCGCATCCCCGTCCGAGTTCTCGGGTCAGAACTTCAAGCTACTGATAGACCTTTTTCCAACAACACTAGCAGTTGAATTTGATGATAGGGTTCTAATTTATCGTGTCCAAGTACTGCCACCAAACCCATGGCCAAAGCGAGTTGCAGGTGTTCCGTGTTATTTGACAACCGACGCAAACGATAAGGGACCGGTCGTTCCCCTTTGCTACTGCAGTCGCTCTCGGATTGATATCTCCCAAGATCTCAATCTCAGGGATAGTGATGCTTCACTCGACGTGATATCCGATTTGTTACGCGGCTTTTTCGCAAAAGCTCAAATCTCAACCACTGAAATTCAAGTGTGGGATCACTTGGTCGTCATAGTTCTTGAGCAACAAATTGACCAGGATGAGGTTCTTAAGGCCACATTCTAAGGTCTGCTCCCCGCTCTGTTGCTCGTTGCACCTGCTTATATCTTTCAGAGCATCACATGGATAGACCTCGCACGTTATCTGCTCAACGGCTGTTTTGTCCAAAGCATATCAGTATGCTAAACGAGATGGCTCCTGGGCCTCGCCCCATACCAGCATTAGCCCCGAACCATCATCCCTGGCAGAACCAATGCCTCCTACACAGAATGCCGCCCCTCCTCAGCAAAATGCCAATGGACGATTCTCAATACACTACGTTGAGACTAGGTGTAATGGTCAGCTCCGTTCCAAATTCCGCAGGCGAATCAATGCGTTCGTCCTCGGGCGTTCTCGTCAAAGATCATTTGGGCTCTAAATATATGACCACTGCCGCTCATAGATTCCCTTTCGATAAAAACGTCTACCATCCATCTCCCAGAGGCGCAATAATTGGGGAAATTTCAGGGCTCACTCATACAGACATTGCATTGATGAAACTCGGTGATGGAGTAGAGTTTGTGAATGAACCGTTTGGAAATACGTCGACACCAGCCAGTCCTTTTCGACTCGGAGATTTCATTCGAATGGCAGAAACAAAACGACAGCATTTGGTCTTCCTTGATAGCCCCTTTACTGGTCTTATCGAGGGCCAGCTGATGTCTAAAAATATCATGCGTGTTCCATCTGACGACCAAGATCAGGAAATATGGGTCAAAACTCAATAGAGCTATATCGGGCAAGACTCAGCTCATGAGCTGGTGGACGGTGCTTGTGGCTCCGCCATCTGGAACACCGATCATCGAGTTATAGGCTTTCTCAGTTACGCCTCTAGAACAGGACTCTACAAGGATCACTGCTTAAGTATTGCTGCTGATCATCTTCTTGATAGGGGGTATAGCATGGCCTAGCGAATTTATGTCTCCCACTTCGGACAAACTCAGGGGTCAACGGCCTTGGGATAAAGTAAATACTCCGTAGACTAGAATATAAAAACAGCGATCTACCCCACCATCGCGTCATAAGGGGCATCTTCGCCTGAGCCGAGGCACTTCAGAGACCTCACATCTCGATAACCCTCGGAAAATTCTATTCGGAAGCACATTACTCTATACAGTTTGGAAAATGTCTCTCACACTCCTACAGGCGTCGGCTGCATCCTTTGTGTTGCTTTCCGTTGGACACACGTATTATTCCTAGACTCAGAACTCCCTTGAAGAATCGTATTGATTGTTTCGTAGATCAAGGGCAGACAATGGACAGCCGATCCAAGATTCAAAGCTATCACGGGCACGAATTCGTGGACTTGTGGTTCTCTAGGATGGTACCAGGTGCGTTGAACTTTGGCCTTGGTGTCTTGTTCAATATCAACCACGCTTTATACTGACTGCCTTATTCGGTTTCTACAACAGGGGAGCGGGTTTTTTCTATTGACTGGTAGGCTCATAGTATCATTTCTCTTAGCCAAGTTTTAACCATAGTAATAGGTCTTCTTCACTGGCAATGGTCACAAGATCCCAGTCTCCTCCAAGATCCACTGAACAAGGCCATGGCTGGGATCGTGAATATCATACTCTGGGCTAGCTCTGCCTGGTATGCTAAGCATGGTATCACTGATACTTCCATTGTCCTTGGTATATCTGCCGCGTTGCAGGCTTTCAGCGTTGGCAAGGCTTGCCTGTGAAATCATCGAGAATATATGTTTGAATACTTATAGGCCGATCGGATGAGCTTGGGTGTCTTACAAAGAGATCTATCGTGCTTTTGCACTCGTCTGCTTTTGATTTTTGAGGTTTCTGTATGTTGATGAATCATGATCATAATCCACAGCTGTTGAAAATTTCCGAGATGACAGTAGGATGAAGGTCGAGAAAGGCACCCAACAGACAAACAACAAGTTAGCCCTCCTCCATTTGAGAATCCTGCTCCAACCTCATTTCTTCTCTCCGCTGGATAGTCCACCGAATAAACAATCCCACATCAGAAACAACAGCCCGCGGCACTCCACCCAGCATCCAGCTCCGCTGAACCCACTTGGGAATACTTCCACCAGCCTCAGAAGTCGTCAACATAGTCCACCGAAGGTAGCGATCAGTAGAAGTAGCAGGGGTATTCAAATTTGCCGTAGACGACGGATCCGAAGAGGCCGGAGTAGGAAGCAGCAGACGCTCAACCCGCTCGAGACTGGCATAGTAAGCGAAGACTGCCCGCTGGGGAACGATATCCATGATCTGGGCGTACAGTCCCTCGAACTGGGATCCCGGCATGTTCGGCTTAGGCAAATAGAAAGGAACCTGTACGGTCATAAACCCGTGGCATGGGCTGGATTGGGTTGCTGGGTATGAGCTGGCGAAAGTCGCCGACATAGTCCACGATATGAAGGCCCGGGGCCGGATTAGTGCGCTTGGATGGAAGGTGTGGACAATAAGATTGACTGAGTTTGAGAGTTAGTAGGCTGTCCTTGTGCATGAGTTTTCGGGACTTTTATACATACGTTCGACCTCGAAATGCTTGTAGTTGATGTTTCCAACTGTAAGTGGTTGGTTGAGATCCCAGTGTCTCGGCTCGTTCCACTTCAGCAGTTGCTTTACGCTCGTCACACTGGGTGTGTACTCCATCTCGTGCTCAGCATGGTTGTATCGCAGCCCGTCGTGGAATTCCCATAGGGAAACTGTGCCAGGCAAACGATCGGAGTCTTGGTGGTCACTTTGGCGACATACCCAGAATTCCTTTTTAGATTTTGAGTCCTCTTGGGGGGATTGCAGCGCTCGCCATCCCCGTGAAAGCTTCACCTTTGCCTTTGAGGGTGGAGAAGAGCGCAGCTTGCAGTCTGGTTTCAGCGTTGATGGGAACTGGTTTAGAAGAGGCTGGGCTTCAACTAGGATGGCGTGGATGAACTCCCGCAGATCTGGTGTGTTGGCATCCCCTTGAAGATCTGGGTGACGAGGGAGGCTGGTGAACAGATGTGGCTCTAGTTGGATTATCGGCATGATAGGGGATGAAGGGAAGAAGGCTTGGCGATGAAGTAGATGTACAGATGTACAGATGGAGAAAGGTGGTGAAAAGAAGAAGCAAGAAGTCAGAAAGGAAATTAAATTTTGATACAATTAGGTCTTTCTTATTTGTTTGCGCAGTTCTACATTATGTGAGAATTGAAGGTCGCTTGTTTAGTCGCTTGTTTAGACGATCCCAGGAACACAACTATATTCTCGTTAAGACTTGATCAGTCATCTGTCAAGTGAATCTTATTGATCAAATTAGAACTTGGGCAACAATTTATAAAAATATTATAGAGACTATAGACAGCGGATCCCAGGTCCAACGCTGCCAGTCTCGAACATCTCCACAAGTCCCGCGCCTAGTGCTTCCTCTAGCGCCCATCGAAAGTGCATCCCATATAGATCTTTCCATTTCTTAGTCTTACCCGGCAAGACCCCTGCAAACTCGCCACGGGCTCGCTTGGCCAAGTGAAAGCTCTTGTCGGTTTCAACAGCTCCATCCCACCGATCTTTCAACAGACCCAGAGGGGCTTCGCCAGAAGCGGACCGCCGGAGAAGAGCGAGCAGATGTGCACGACCTGATCCTAACAAGCGGAGATATGTTCCCGTGTTAGGAAGAGACAGGAACAAAGTTGCCGCACGAGCCTGCGTATTTGACTGCACAGGGCGCTCGGAGTGCGAGATAGACTCGCTTCGACTGGCTGACGAAGTCGCCATTTGAGGTAGATTAGGAAGTGATGCAATACTTAATGTGCCCTGTGTGTAAGATGACGACGAGACAATAAAGCCGGCACGTAGCAGCGCCCTGTACTCATCCGTTGTGAAGACCCCCTGCGATATCGCCGAGGAGGTTCCAATCCGTTTCAGGATATCAAGGAATTTCTCTGCAAACTTGTCAGTCGGCGACGTCCAAACAATCCCAACTCCAAAACTCACCCTTCACTGGTTGTTCCAATGCAGGGCTTTCCTGCACCAGCTTGTCCCAATCCTCTGCTAGCACCAAACAATCGCCCAGCCCTGCCGCGTCGTTGCCTCGACCCGGTATAATGAGTCGCCGAATCCGACCAGTCCGAATTTGTTCGACAATTTCCCTCTCCACCTGTGTCGGTGCCTCCAGAAGGGTATGGACATGTGCCACAGAGGCGAGGGGAGGCAAAGATCGGCGTAGATTGAGGACTTCTGCGATACGCGTGCTGTTCATTCCTGCCCGTGCCGGAAGTTCTTCGAACATGCCATCACGGATATATTGAATAGCCTGCAGCACATTCTGAACCGGTGCAGTCTCCGCTATGAAATGAGACCCGCCTACATCTGGAAGCGGGTCATCGAAACCTAGATCTGCAGTCGGTTTTAGGCTGCCTCCGCCATATGTAGGTTTTCGGCGCGCAAGGGCGGCAAAGGGCGAGGCGCGGGGTTTGGGAGCAGAGGATTTGCGTTTCTTGACACCAGATACCGGAGCGGAGGTAAGACGTAAGGTCATGGCATGGGTGTGTGAACCTTTTACTATGCGTAACGGATTCGGAGAGAAATATTGCCTTATGTCAGGTGACAGCTAGATATTCCGCCAATCACAGCCGATCTGCCATAGTTCTGTAATAAAATACCAAAAATACCGTACGGGAACACCCAGACCCTCAAGTGGGGTAAAAGCGGTATGTCACAGCAAGGGAATGGATAAGTTGTTGTCTTCCCTCGGTTCCGCGATATCCTTTCGGCTTCAAAGGACTTTTAAGTGATATTCATCGTCATCTCTGATTCTAGCCCTCGGGCATCTAGATTTGCCTGTTTCTTCTTATTTGTCCTAGCAAATCCACACGGCAAACTTGCTTCTCCACCACTTGGCACTTTCACATGACGTAGTCATGAGAAACGCATCGTGTAACTAACATTTCTTTTTCTTCAGCCCCCGGTTTTTAGCTAACCCCTCGTTTGATGGCCGCATCTATCCATTGCTATTGTCAGGAAGGTCTATCTCATATTGCTTTTTGATATTATTTTGCCTATCCGCTTAGGCTCGGCTCAATCACCATGACGGTCTTCATAGCATCTCTGTATGTGGCTATTACTGGACCTTGAACTATATATGGCTAACCGGCGAATTTCTTATATAGATTTTTGCCCTACACTATCGATTTCCACATCAACAATTCGCGCGGCCGCTCTCCCCCTCTAAGTCCTCCAAGTCCTCCGTCCGTGAACCCCACTATTGAGGGGATCACACCCATCCCCAATTCTACTGCTAGCCTGTTTGAGAAGAACCTTCCAGAGCAAACACCGGGTCTTACACCAGGAGCTACAACGGATCATGAGCGCATCTTTGCTGCCCAGGTAGGCAAGACAGAGCACGAGACAAACGGGTACCCGTTCCCTTTGGCCGTCGAGCAGGATAACCGGCTCCTCACACGGAGTGAGGGTCATTCCCCGGTATGGGGTGCCACAACCTCGCTCAATCAACCAAAGCCGGCGGCGGTCATGTCGCCGTCTCCATCCATTCTCAAGCACCAAGATCCTCGCCCCGCCAAGGAACCTACGCACCGGCCTCCTGCAGTTGAGACCATTGCTTCCTATGCAAGACTAAGAAAGGCCAGCACAGCGAGCCGAAAATTATCATTTTCGAAAGCTGAATGGACCATCGAGACCGCGGAGCAGGGCAATGGTGGCCTGCGTAATGCAGTGCGATCCGCAACAGACGCCGGAGGCTTGGATAGCATGATGTGGGTGGGCACCTTGGGTATGCCCACTGACGCGTTGGCAAAGCACACCCGGCGCGACATCGCAGAGAAATTGGAAGATGAGTACGGGTCTTTGACGGTTTTTGTAAATGACAGCGACTTTGACGGGCACTACACGCATTTCTGCAAGACCATTCTTTGGCCGGTGTTCCATTATCAGATCCCAGATAACCCGAAGAGCAAAGCTTATGAGGACCATTCGTGGATCTATTATGTCAAGTTGAATCAGGCTTTTGCAGATCGCATTGCTAAGCATTGGAAGCGGGGTGATGCGATCTGGGTTCAGGATTATCATCTGTTACTGGTTCCAGCTATGCTGCGCAAATTGGTGCCAGATGCACAAATCGGGTTTTTCCTGCATATTGCTTTCCCCTCGTCGGAGGTCTTCAAGTGCTTGGCACAACGCAAGGAGCTCCTCCAGGGCATGCTTGGTGCCAACCTTATTGGCTTCCAGACAGATGAATACTGCCGGCACTTCTTGCAGACATGCAGTCGGATTTTGTGTGTGGAAGCAACACCCGAAGGAATCCAGTTGGAAGACGGTTTTGTCAACGTCGGCACGTTCCCTATCGGCATCGACCCAACTTCTTGGGATAAGCGCCGCCGGGCAACGGATGTGGAGCGATGGGTCCATGCAATCTCGGAGCGCTATCAAGGGAAGCGTCTCATCGTCTCGCGCGATAAGATTGATTCTGTTCGGGGTATTCGCCAAAAACTTCTTAGCTATGAGCTTTTCCTCAATACCTACCCAGAATGGGCTGATAAAGTTGTGCTGATTCAAGTCGCCACCAGCACCACGGAACAACCAGAGCTGGAAGCGACTATCTCTGATATTGCCATGCGGATCAACTCCACACACTCAACCCTCGCTCATCAGCCTTTGGTATTCCTCAAACAAGACTTGGCCTTCCCGCAGTACCTTGCTCTCATCACTGTGGCAGATGCCCTGATGA